CACGATATCGGCACGAGCGCGCGACGACGCGCGCGCGCACATCGCCCCATGTTCTAGGGGATTCTTGAACCCAGAGGATTTGGGTAAGCGAGTGCGCGCGCGTAGTTTTCGCTTGCAGAGGGCGCGGGGCCGGCGCGGACTCATTTCTAGCATGGGCGGTGGCGCAGAATTACATTTAAGTTGCAACATGGGAAGGGGGCCGCGAATGTCGGGGGGGAGGGGTCCGATTATCTTTTCGAACGCCCTTGCAAACGCCCCGCCCACCCACCCGCAACTTGGTTTACAAGACCAACGCGGCCGCGATTGCGATGAGTGCTCGGCGTTGGCCGGTGCATCTTCGCGGCCGCGCCAAGCCATGCGCGCGCGCAGCGGCCAGCTAGTTTGGCGCGACCGACGCGGCCGCGGCGGCGCTGACCGCGGGGCGCATCCCAGCGGGCACTTCAGTGCGAGTCGGCGATTTTGGCGGGCGCGCTACCATGGCAACGTCGACAACAGTAGACACGGCGACGATAGTAGCGACGCTGGCGACGACGTTGGCAACGACGACGTCGCGGCCAGAGACGGCGGCGATGCTGATACCGCCGAAGACGATGACGGCGCCCTCGCGTCGGCGATGAAGGTTTCGGAAGGAGTTCGACGCGCGCGCGGCCGGCCCGCCAGACTGGCCCGCGCGGCATCGTTCGACGCGGATCGCGCCCCCCCCAGCACGCGCGCGAGGGCGCGCGAATGATCCCGGCACGCGGCGCGAGAAGCCCGTTTGGAACATATGTATATGTAGATATGTATGAATATACATATATATATATATATATATATATATATTCACGTAAATAAACATATAGAAAATGAGCTGAGAAAAAAGGGTTGCCCACGATTTCGATAGAGCGCGAGCGCGAGCTGTTTTTGAACATCCGCGTTTCGAAACCATGCGTTTCAATTTATGTTGGACGTTATGTCTTGAAAGCCTCGCGAAACCCAACAATCCGGATGGATTTCGGCATGCGCGCGCGAGGGCGCAAGCGCACACTGCGCCTCATTTGTTGCAGTGGATTCGCGCGACGCCACGCGCGCAAGGGCGCTCGAAGGGTTTCGACGCGCGCGCGCGCGAAGCCCGATTGGCGGCGCGTCTTCTACACTTTTCTACATGTAGAACAGATCGTATGGTTTTTGAAAAATTAGCAAGTGCGCGAGCACAAGCTTTTTTATCCTCGTTGCGAAACCATGTGGTTTTCTTTGTGTTTTGGACACTCGGTTTTGAGATCCTTGCGAAACCCAAGGTTTCGGAGGGATTTCGGCATGCGCGCGCGACGACGCGCGCGTGTGCACTTCGTCTCATTCGTTACCAAGGATTCTTGGAGTTTAATGGTTTTGGATAACCGAGCGCGCGCGCATAGCATTTTTTCCAGAGGATGGCGGGGGGCGGTCGATACGGGCCCCCTCGGGGTGGCGTGAACCCACGTTTGGGATGGGCGATGGGGCAGGACCATTTATAAATGGCAATGGGAAAGGGTGACCCATGATCCGGCGGGGGTAGAATCTATGATAAGGAGAACGTATGGCGCGCATGTTCGGCGCGCGTCAGATGCCATGGAATCTATGCGGCGCATTCGCCTTGCCGCACTTGAAGTTGTCAACTCCACTCCTCGCACAAAAATCCCACCCACCCACCAGCAACTTGGTTTGCATAGCCCGCGCGGCGGCGATTGCCATGAGTGCTCGGCGTTGGCCGGTGCATCTCTGCGGCCGCGCAAGCTGGCGCATGCTCGCGCGCGCAGCGGCCTTCTAGTTTGGCGCGACCGACGCAGCCGCAGTGGCGCTGACCGCTGGGCATAACCAAGCGCGCACTGCATTGCGGCATCTTGGGAACGTCGACAACGGTAGACACGATGATGATCGTTGCGGCGTTGCCGGCGATGATGTCAGCGGCGGCGGCGCGGCCAGCGACGACGCCGATGCTGATCACGCCGACGACGATGACGGCGCCCTCGCGTCGGCGATGAAGGTTCTGGAATGAGTTCGACGCGCGCGCGGCCGACGCGCGAGAGTGGCCCGCATGGCATGATTCGACGCGGGTTGCCCCCCCCCAGCACGCACGCGCGCAAGGGCGTTCGAATGATTTCGACACGTTGCGCGAGTGGCTCGTTTGGCAGAAGTCAGTGAACAGGTTCATCAGTTTGTGGTTTCCGCGAGAATTCGCAAAAGCGCGGGCGCCGTTTTCTTGAAAACTGACGTTGCGAAACCGTATGTGGTTATATGTGTTTGGGGCACTCGGTTTGGGAATCTCCACGAAACCGAAGGTTCTTTAAGGATTTCAGCACGCGCCCGCGACCATGCGCGCGCATGCAGTTCGCGCACGCTTTTCCTGGGGATTCTCACGACCGCACGCGCGCATGGGCGCCCCCGCGATTTCGACATGCGCGCGCGAAGCTCTTCTGGTAGAAGTTTATGGAAATGGTGAACATGCCATGGGTGCATTAAGAATGCGCAAGAGTGCGCTCAAGCTTTTTTCTTGTTTTGAAAATCCGCGTTGCGAGACCTTGTGTTTCATATGTTGTTTAGACACTCGGTTTGTTTATCTTTGCGAGACCGCAGGTTGTGGAAGAAATTCTGCATGCGCGTGCGACGACGCGCGCGCGCACTTCGTTTCATTGTTTTGCAAGGGCCTCGCGAAAATTTATGGTTTGTGATAACCGAGCGCTCGCGCACATTATTTGTTGCGTGGGATGGTGGGCGGGGGGGGGGGGGGGGCGGATGCCGGCTCGGATGGGATGGTGCGAATTCATATTTAGGATGGACGGTAAAGCAGATTCATACGTAAATTGCAGTACGAAAAGGGGTACGGATCATCCATGGGGCGTCGAGTTTTTTGTCTTTTAAGAAAGAGAACTGTTCGCATTGAGTTGCCAATTCCACTGCTCACACAATCATCCCACCCACCCACCCGCACGCTGGTTTCCAAAACCCATGCAGCGGCGATTGCGATGCGTGCTTGGCGTTGGCGGGTGCATCTCTGCGGACGCGCTAGCCCGCGCATGCTCGCGCGCGCAGCGGCCAGCTAGTTTGGCACGACCGACGCGGCCGCGTTGGCGCTGACTGCCGGGGGTCCCGGCGGTCAGTCCAATGCGAGTCGGTGACTTGGGCGGGCGCGCTATCATGGCGACGTCGACAAGGCAAACGCGATGATGATAGTAGCGATGATTGTGACGATGGTGACGATGACAACGGCAAGGCCAATGACGGCGCCGATGCTGATCACGCCGGTGGTGATGACGACGTCTTCGCGTCGGTGATGGAGGTTTTAGAAGGAGTTCGACATGCACGCGCGGCCAACGCGCGCGAATGGCCCGCATGGTATTATTTGACACGGCGCGCACGCGCATTCGAATGATTTCGACATACTCGCGCGCGAGAGGCCCATGTGACCGAATCTGGTGAAAATATTGAGAAGACGATGGCTTTCTTGAGCTCGCAAGGGCAAGCGTGCGTGTTTTCTCTTGTTTGGGAACTCTTGTTGCGAAGCCATTGGTTTTGAAAGCTTGCGGGACACTCGCTATGGAAAGCCCGACGAAATTTGAGATGCCTGGTGTTTGGAATGATTTCGGCATGCGCGCGCGATGACGCGCGCGCGCATTTCACCCCAGTTGTTCCAAGCGATTGTTGAAAACTGCTGATTTGTGATACACGATTGCGCTCGCATTGCAGTTGCTTTGCAGAGAAGGGGGGGCGATCACGGCTTGCCAAGCATGGTACGAATTCATATTCAGGATGGACGACGGGGCGGAATCATATGCAAATTGCACTACGAAACTACCGCGCGTTAGTTCCGAGGGGGGGGGATCCGAATGATTCGTAAAGAGGAGAATCAACGTGGCGCAGTCTATCTAATGGGTGGAGCTGCGACGGGGCGGCGGCGACGGCGACAACATAGACGCCACACTTCCATACCGGCGCACACGACGAACGGCGACGAGGCGACGATGGCGACAACATAGCCGCCAGACCGTCACACCGGCCCAAACGACGGGCGGCGACGAGGTGGCGACGGGGCGGCGACCGCGACAACATAGCCGCCAGATTGCCACACCAGCCCAGGTCCGCAGAACAGAAGTAAGAACCTCGAAGTGCAAGCATTGTTTGGGGAACATACAGATGTGTGTACGGCGCATGCCATCACACACGAACAGCCCAACAAAGCATGCAGCTCGCATACATCAAAATCATAGTACAGCAAACAAGCATCACTCGTGAATTGTGAATGTTTTCGTATGCGTTGTTTTGCCGATCGGCGCGGGCCCTCGCCCCCCGCCCCCCCATGGAGTAGATCTTGGTTGTTTCTGGTGCACGCTTCGAGCAGGTGGAGTGAACACGAAGGCCCCGCCTCTCCCCCCCCTGCAGGACACGCGAATCTCTATTGCGCTCAATTGTGCGCTGTGTTTTCGGAGAGGCCCTCGGGGAAATAAGAAAGGGCTGCCAGGGCGCCGGATGCGCTGTAAAATGGCACACCCGGGGGTAGCCAGTTGTTGTGGGATCTTCTTGAATGCAATTCCTGAAGATTCCAATCGGATCCCAAATGGGTTCAAATTGGATTCGAAGTCCCCCGTAGCATCCCCCAGAAGTCTCCCCCATGAAATTTCCCCATGGGATTCGTAATGGGATTTCCCCACGAGATTCCCCACAGGATTCCCCCATAAGATTTCTCCATAGGACTCGCACAGGACCCCCGCATAGAGCTCCCACTAAGCCCTGTTTCAAATAGTCGCACTAAGCGGAGGTCTGGAGCCAGATCCCCCCCTCCTTTCGCCCAATGTCGAAGCGCCGAATCAGAAAACGTTCACGTGCCAAACATAAACAATACTCGTAGCGATCGTACACAATTTTGTTTGAAATACTGTATGGCACAGGGTAGAGTAACACGCCACTGATGTTGATATCATTTGCAGCAGCCCCCTGGTGGGGACTGCCCGAAGTAAAACCATTGTGCCGTTTGTGAGATTCCAGAGGTGGTGGCGCATGTAGGCAGCGGCGGGATGACCGGCGAGTCGCTGGCCGCGAAGAGGTTGTTGGAGAGATTGCCTCAGGACGGCCAGGGCTGGATGCTGCCCACCCCAGAGCACCGGCTGCCGAGCGGTCCCCAGGATGTCGCGTGGAAGCCGATCATTGTGCGGTACCTTCATCTCGCCATCGACAGAGCCTGCGAGAGCATCGAGGGGAAGGACTCGAAGCAGAGAAAGCGGCAGAGAGCACAAATTTCCGGGGGCTCGCGCGGACGTCTTGCGTCGGCGTTGGGCTCCCCTTACCAGCGCCTCCAGCGCCGCCCTTGGCGCGCTTCTCGCGCCAGCCAGGGGAGGAGTGGTGGGCTGCATTTCCACCACCACTACCACAGGTAGGAGGGAGGAGGAGAAGGAGGAGGAGGAGGAGGGGGAGGAGCAGGAGGAGGAGGAGGAGGAGGAGGAGGAGGAGGAGGAGGAGGAGGAGGGGGAGGGGGAGGGGGAGGGGGAGGAGGACAAGCTAGGTGCGTTCGCGTGATATCTGACATCCTACCCCTCCCTCCCATCCCTTACCATAGCGTAGATCCCCTCTCTACTCGCACAGTCGGATGTCGAGCAGGGCAATGATCCCGAAAGGGTACGCGATGCATTGTAGAGCACGGCATGGCATGGCGTAGAAGAGCACCGCAAAGCGTAGTATGTCACAGCATGGCGTGGCGTGGCGTAGTGAAGAATTGCATCACAAAGCTTTGCAACGCAAAGCATGGCATCGCACAGCGGCCCCGAACATAACATTGCATAGCATGGCGTTGAAGATCAAAGCGTAGCATGGCATAGCACGACGTGGCACTTAAGCATTGCATATCACAGCTTCAGCTGAAGGCATGGCATCGCGCAGCGGAACGCAACCTAGCATTGCATTGCATGCCGTGGCATGGCACGGGAAATGACGCCAGCGCTGCAGCGGGAGCACGATTCGGAACGAGCGGAAGCGCGGAAATGAGGCCAGCGCTGCAGCGGGAGCACGATTCGGAACGAGCGGAAGCACGGAAATGAGGCCAGCGCTGCAGCGGGAGCACGATTCGGAACGAGCGGGGCCCGAAAATGAGGCCGGCGCCTCAGCGAGAGCAGCATTTTGAAAAAAATGCACGCGAAAACCCAACTCCAGGGAATCCTGCGTGTAAAAAAAAAAAAGTACGCGGGGGGGGGGGGGGGGGGGCGAACACTCCCAACCCGTCATCAGGGGAAGGAGGAGAGTAGTATTCATATTGAGTCATTGTGTGGAGGAGGAGGAGAGGGAGGAGGAGGAGGAGGAGGACCTTCCCATCCTCCCTTCCCCCCCGTCATACCAAGGGGGAGACTCCACCAGGGGGGGTCCAGCGCCGACCCAGGAGATCTATAGGCCGCCCGAGCAGGCGCGAAGGGAGCCGCGCTTCGCGCGCCGCGGGCCGGACGGGAGAGCTGCTCCTCCTCCTCCTCCTCCTCCTCCTCCTCCTCCTCCTCCTCCTCCTCCTCCTCCTGCTCCTCCTCCTCCTCCTCCTCCTCCTCCTCCTCCTCCTGCTCCTCTCCTCCTCCTCCTCCTCCTCCTCCTCCTCCTCCTCCTCCTCCTCCTCAGCTGCCATCTGGGCCTAAGATATCGTCGGGGCAGCCCAGACCGCCACCATGCTGTTCCTCGGATCGAGCAGACAGAAGGGGCGGCGGCCCGCATGATGGCGGCACTTGCAGTTTCTCTCGCTGTGCTCCTCTTCAACCCACTCTCGGCAAAGCCCGACAGGCTCGCGGAAATATACGAGGAGGCCAACAATTTTGACATCATCGTGCTAGTGGGGACATCACGCAGACGACGCGACCCCGTCATCACGCAGCACCGCTGCGACAACACACGCTACTACGACGCGGGTTGGCAACCAGGAGAACTGACCAACCGCAGCACGGGCATCATCATCGCGCTGCAGGGACGGCTGCGAGGGGCTAAGGTGATCGACATCCAGGAACCGACGCCCGAGCTCAGTGGAAGAGGTCTCGCGATCACCCTGCAGCATCACGACCAGACGCTGCTGATCATAGGATACTACAGTCCACCGCAACCCAACAAGGGCAAGACGACCAGAAAAGAGTATTACGCTACGACGAGCAGATTGCTCAATTGGATAGAAGAGACCAGCAAACGGAAACATAGACACACGATACTCATTGTGGCGGGCGACCTCAACGACTGCATCGGCATCACACAGAAAGGAGGACGACCAGATACACCAGCACTCGGAGAAGGCAGATCGCCCGAACGACTGCCAGGCGGCGCTGGACAGAAGGCTGGTACCTACGCCGACCGCTACGACCGCAGCGTGGTGAACACGCTCGGACAATGGCGCCCCACGTATTTCGGAGAGAAGAACGCGAGCTGCATCGACTACATCATGATACCGAGGAGCATGACCGAGACGCTGATATCTCAAGGACCCCTGCTCAGGATGGGAACGCGCTTACAACACATACGCTGCCGATCTAGACGAGACCGCGTTCCAGTGCAGGTGACTTTTCGGCTTCCCCTACGACAACAAGTACGGCAGCGACCTCAGCTACCGAGATGGGACAAGGACAGCCTCGCGCTCGCAGTACGACACGGACTGCACAGAGGAGAATACATCAAGAAGGTAGAGCAGCGGATTGAGGACTACGACCCAGCAGGAAAGGGAGTCGATCAGCTCTTCACGGACATCAACACCATCTTCGTAGAGACAGCCCAGCAGTACTACAGCCAGGCGCCGAAACCGACCGACGACTACGAGAGGCTCCGCAACGAGTGCATGCAGCTACTAAGACAACGCAGAGCAGCCCGATCAGTACTTCACGAATTACACGCCGCTCATCATGAGGCTAACCGCACGCCAGCGCCCGAATCGTCGCCTCCCCCGTTTTGCGCGGACGTGCTCGAATCCAGGGACCCTCCAGGGACGGTCGCTGACCCACCCAGGACCCAGGAAGAGACAGAGCTGGAAGGCAACCCATACGCCACAGACGAACAGCCGATCACGGAGATCGAGCAGCGCATGCGCGAGATAGAGAAAAAGCTGCACGACATCACGAAGACCTGCCAGCGACAACGACGACACGCACAACAATTACGCACAGAGCAACGAGTCGAAGAGCTATACGAGGCGTAGGAGGAAAGGGACCTGGCAAGAGTTGGAAGACTATCACGGTTGGTCGCGGGAGGAAGATACGGACCACGCAGGAGGGACTTCTGGACGGCTACTACGGCGAACCCCGCGGAGCAGGACAGGCTTGATTTTTGGCAACTACCAGGAGGCTCAGGCGGCATGGAAGGCACCGAGCAGGACACGCAGCACCTGGAGGCCATCCCGCACAACGCCGAGGAGAAGGACTACGACGAGGACGACTTGGAGGAAAAGATAGAGGAAGACTACAACGAGATTGCCAAAAGCCTCAAACGAGCACGCCTACGACGGGCAGCACCACCAACGGCGGCACCAGCGGAGGTATGGCGACTACTACTATGCCCACCGAAGGCGGAACACCAACCACGCCAACGACACGGCCTCGGACATCAAGAGGGAGACGGAGAACCCGAACAGTTTCAAGCATTATTGAAGGCGGCCTTGGCGGCGATACGCATCAGCAACGCGGCACCAGTTCGATGGCATCAAAGTACGGCGACGGCGGTTAAGAAGAACACGAAGAAAGGACCAGCAGGCAAGCGAATCTACCACATCATGGACCCCATCGGCAAGGCAGACTACGCTGCGGGACTCAGGGGGCACCGACAACAAACCCACACGGACCAGGACTACGGGTTCATCAGGGGACGACGACGAGAAGGAGCCATCCTCACCATGTCAGTCAATGAGTACAGGGCTCGCAACGCAGGCTACAATTACGCGTCCACCATGAAGGACATGCCCAACGCGTTCGCCAGCTGCAAGTGGCATACCATGGACGCGGCCAACAGCAACATCACGCCGCAGGACCTCTGGGACCTCGGAGAACAACGATACCGCAGGGCGACGTTCAACATTGATTGCAGAGACGACACGCAGGGAATATGCATCAAGCCCCACTGCGGCGGCCTCATCGGCGACCCCTACATGGCGCGCAACTTCGTGGCCAGCTTCGCCCCTTGCATCCAGAGGTGGACCAAGGACTGCAACGACGAGATCGAGTACGACGAGTTACTGTATGGAAGAAGTGAACTGTTCCAACATCCAGTATACGTGGGGCTAACGAAGTACGCGGACGACATACGCAAGATCATCTTGAACGGGAAACAGGCTAATCCCACGCTGCTCGCCGACCAGGCTCACAAGATAGACGACACGCTGAACAGACGCTTGAGCGAGATCGGCCTGAAGCAAAACCAAGATAAGCAGGAGGCGATAGTACACTTGCAGGGAGAAGGCGCCAGCCAGGCGCACCAACGAATCAAGAAGGACCCGCAATGCAAACTGCCAGGCAAAGTGGTGGCGGTGGCTCGGCACCTGGGCCCTCCAGTAACATCGACGCAGAGCTATTACCCAGAGCTGCAGAAGCGCATCCAGGCCATGAAGAAGAGCTGCTACGAGTGCGGCAGGTTCTGGACCAAGCGAGAGATACCCTACAAGTGGAAGCGCGCAGTCCTCATATGCGGGGTCATCAACACGGGGCTTTCGTGCATCGAGTGCTACCTGCCCACGCCTAACGAGTACCAGATGCTCCAGGGCGCGATGGGCGCCCTCCTGAGACGGGCGATGGCAGGCCGAGCTAGCACGCACAACGAGGACGGCTCGGTACGTAGTTTGACAACGATGGAGGTCTTCCGCTACTGGCAGACCCTTCCTCCAGCGGAGGAGGCGCAGGTCCGCAGACTTGGCTGGACAAAAAAATATATTGAGATTCCCGAATAATCACCGCCAACGCATCGTCGCCTTGTTCGGACGCCTCGAATTCGAGACCAACGATGACGGCGCGACAGATGAGCTGACGACGCACGCGAACCCCTGGGCCCGACGAACCGAGGAGGACGTCACGAAGGCCCGCCATGTCTCGGAGAGTTTCAGAAACATCTTCGGGGAAGAGCAGGTCAAGATAGGTAAGATGTTCACGCTAGTGATTAGAGAACAACTGCACCTACTAGACGCACGCGAGGTCAGAGCAGCTAAATTGACGGTAGCAGTTCCTCCTCCAGGCTATACTCCCAACGACGAACTCCGAGAAGACTTAGCCCTTCAGGACCTCCAGCCTTGGAAGTGCTCGCTCGGGGACGATTCTGGGGAATGCGGACTAGTGTTCGCAAGCAAAAAAGCGCTACACCGTCATGTCATTCGGAATCATAACGTTCACAATTTAGCCGCTCTATTAACTACGAACAACGAGTGCATCAATGGCTACCAGTGCTGCACGAGCCGTGGAACAGCCTGGAAAACACCTGACCAGGAGTTTGATCACGGGCAGCTGTAACCCAGATAGGACACGAAACCAGAGCCAGCTGACTAAATCGAGCACGAAATGTCCTCTCTGCAGCCATCTCTTCTTAGACAAGGGCGCCTTCTTCGCGCACCTGTGCACGCATCTACCCAGACCACTACTACGACCTCAGGCACAGGATGGCGCTCTTCGACCAGCGCCCAGCCTGGGCGCCAGCGGCGGCGGCAGGGGGACCTCAGCGACCAGACCGCAGTCGACAACCACGACGAGCCGCCGCAGGAGGAACACCAGCGGGAGGAGGAGCAGCGGTGGCCAACCCGCACATAGTGGACCTCACGGCGCGCCTCACCCTCACGCTGGCGCGCGAGCAGGCAGAGCTGGCGTCGGCCATCATCCAGACGTGGGAGATCAGCACGCAGAGCGGCATCGCGCAGGCGGGCTTACAGGCGGGCCAGACGCACAACGACGACGCGCAGGACCTACGACGCAGAGCAGCAGATGGAGAACAAGTGGACACGGCCTCGCTCGGCAGCCCCCACATCCGCGCGCGGACCGAAGTGGCGAACTACATGGGGCGCACGTACGACGCAGGAGCGGAGCGCGACCACCTCGAGAAGTACTACAAGGACGTCATCTTGAGTGGCAGCGCGGAGAAGGTAGCAGACGGCACCCCGATCTTCCGCGCGCGCAGGAACAAGGGCAAGGAAGGGGGCGCCACGGAGAAGTGCAGGTTCCAGTTCCAGGTGAAAGCAACGGACACGCAGTTGGAGACGATCCTCACGCGCGCCCTCCGCAAGGAGGGAGCGAGCCGCAAGATCGGGGCGGCGCCGCGCGGAGCACTGGAGCGAGAACTGGGACGTCTCGTCAACAACTGAGCCAGAACGACACGGAGAGAGGAGCAGCGCATAGCGATGTGACAGAGCGGACGGTGCGGCTCTGTTCTATCCCAGCGAGCGCGGCCCCTCAGGCCATCCCGCGCACTTTTCTCACCAGCGCACGATTCCACGAGCTGGTCAGGGAAGGCCGCCCCCCCCCTCCGCCGCCTCCGACTGAGACCCCCGACCTTCTCCAACTCCGAGGCCCGAGCTTTCCCAACTATTTTGTCGTGCACCGACCTCCCCCTGCCCCCGCCCGAACCGAAGCGAAAGGGTAGGGGAAAGGGACGAGGCAGACGAGGCAGGGGAGTAGAGGAGCCAGCGAGAGGGCACTCGTAAAAGCGGGCGCTACCCTGCCCGCAGACCCCCGCGTGGGGAAGGTCGGTGCAGCTAGGGCCCGAGCGTCTCAGTGGCGCCCGCGCCCCCCTTTCAGCAAAGTGACCTCAGCTAGGCCACGCAACTTTAGTAAGCAGCACGGCGCGTAGCGAGAGTGCAGCACCGAACCGGCCCGAGAGCTCGATCGATCGATCGATCCTCCTCCTCCTCCTCCCCCTCCTCCTCCTCCTCCTCACTCTCCTCCTCCTCCTCCTCCTCCTCCTCCTCCTCCTCCTCCTCCTCCTCCTCCTCCCCCTCCTCCTCTGCCTCCTCCTCCTCCTCCCCCTCCTTCTCCGCCGCCTCCTCCTCCTCCTCCTCCTCCCCTCCCCTCCATCCTCCTCCTCCTCCCTCCTCCTCTTCTCTCTCCTCCTCCTCCTCTCCGCCTGCTCCTCCTCCTCCCTCCCCCTCCTCCCTCCTCCTCCTCCTCCGCCTCCTCCCCCCCCCCTCCTCCGCCTCCTCCTCCTCCGCCTCCTCCCCCTCCTCCTCCTCCGCCGCCCCCTCCTCCTCCTCCTCCTCCTCTTCCTGCAGCTCGGTGGCGCGAGTGCGCGGAGGAGGCCTCGCGTCGCCGGAGGGTTGGCGCGGAGGGCGCGCGAGGCTGGGCGAGGCTGGGTGGCCTGGGGAAGTCCGCGCGGACCTCCGGAGGGCCACGCCTCCGTGACGTCTCGGGCAGCCCGCCTCCAGGGCGCGTTTTCGACTCCCCCGAGATTCCATTTCGATGCGAGCTCGGTCGATTCCGATTCCGATTCGATGCGGCTCCAGAATTCCGATCTGGATGCACATCCTCTGGCCCAGCACCACAGATCCAACACCCGGACGCTGATCTCAGCACCCCAGCCCTAAGCACTAACCCGGACCACGAAGATTGATCCTACAGGGTCCGGCTTGAATAAGGAACAAGTATTTTTCAAAAGGGGCTCGGTGGTTCTTTTGGTGTGCAAGCGTTCCGCTACTTTTTTGGCGGCAAGCCCCCCTGGTGTACTTTCGGATTTCCTAGACTTACTCGGAAAAAAAGAGCTTCGTTCCTTATTTCTCGTTCCTTAGGTCAGGCCAGATACTGTATCACCCCGACGTAAACACGAGACCTCTCATGGAGCTAATCATAGAACGCGAATTCTGATCTGCTACACGCTTGAACCTGCGCCCCCCACAAAGCAACGTCCATGGAGGCCTTACTAGCCTGCTGGTTTCCGCACGTTCGACTCCTCCCGTCTTGGCTGCCGATTTCCGCCGATCCGTTTCGTGCCGATCGCCGCTCCAGCTTGTCGATCCGAATCTGGCTTCTCCTGGCCACGCATGCGCAGGATGCCAGCGCCCAGGGCGGCTCGAGGAAGCTGGCCAGGTCGACGAGCACGCTGGCGCGGTCGGCCCTGGCGCTGGCGGCCCTGCAGGCAGCCAGGAGCCGGCGGCGTGCACGAGGGGGCTGTGGTGCGGGGGGTAGGTCGGGCATGTCCTACAGGCGGACTTTAGGAGATATATACATATAAAGAAGAACAACAAAAACAAAAATTACTCCGACGGTAGGACCCCACATGATAATATGTTTAGCTTACCCTTTGCCCTTTCATCCTCCCCCTGGCGGACACCTTCTCCTCTCGCCCTCTGCACTGCCCTCTCTTCCTCATTATATTCCTCTTCCTAGTTCTCCTCCTCCTCCTCCTCCTCCTCCTCCTCCTCCTCCTCCTCCTCTCGCGCCACCTCCTCCTCGTCGTCGCCCTCCCCCATGCCCATTCCCTCCTCATCCTCCTGTTTTTTTGTCCATGTGCACCTCCCGTTCCCCCTGGTCGTGGCAAGCAACTCGATTTTCCTCGGCGCCGTCGCCGCGTCGGCCAGCACGCGCGCGTTTGCCGACGGCTAGATCGCGAAGCCGTCGGGACAACCCTTCGGGCCAGGCCGTTGGGGCAACCTCGCAGGCCGCAGGGGCGCGGGAGCCAGCCGTTGGGACAAGCCCGCGGGCCTCTAGGTGCGCGCCGCGGCGCTCAGGCGGGCGGCAGCACGAAGCCCAGCTCTGCCGCGAGCTGCTCCGCCTCAGCCCCGGAATCCACCGCTCTCTTGTCGAACTCCTGGAGCGCCTTCCGCAGTGACGCCGGCGGCCCGCGCTCCAGGAACTCTCGCGCGGGCGGCCGCAGGATCAGCATGTTCCGCATGCACGTGGCGCGGGAGAACATGACGTAGAGGTGCAGCCACCACATCTCGTCCGACATGCCCGTGCGGTCAGCGTCCTCATCCCTGGCGCAGTCGATGGTGACGCCCTTGCGCAGCGTCTGGCCCTGCGACAGCGTGACGACAGTTACAAGGTTCCGATGACCCGCTCGGATTAGTAACATGATCTGCGGGCCCCATAAGGAGGGGGCTCCCGCCTGAGACTTCCTCGCAACTCACTCACAGACGAGGCTCCCGCCGGATACTTCCTGAATGTTCAAGCCTCAGAGGCCCAAAAGTGACGACAGTTACAGGGTTCCGATGATCCGTTCGGATTAGTAACATGATCGGCGGGCCCCATAGGGAGGGGGTTCCCGCCTGAGACTTCCTCGCAATTCACTCACAGACGAGGCTCCCGCCTCATACTTCCTGCATATTCAAGCCTCAAAGGCCCAAAAGTGACGGCAGTTACAGGGTTCCGATGACCCGCTCGGATTAGTAACATGATCTGCGGGCCCCATAGGGAGGGGGTTCCCGCCTGAGACTTCCTCGCAATTCACTCAGAGACGAGGCCCCCGCCTGATATTTCCTCCATATTCAGGCCTCAAGAGCCCACTACTCCGACGGTAGGACCCCACATGAGAATCTGTTTAGTTTACCCTTTGCCCTTTCCTCCTCCCCCTGGCGGACACCCTCTCCTCTCGCCCTCTGCACTGCCCTCTCTTCCTCATTCTATTTATTTCTCTTCCTACTCCTCCTCTTCCTCCTCCTCCCCCTCCTCCTCCTCCTCCTCCTCCTCCTCCTCCTCCTCCTCCTCCTCCTCCTCCTCCTCCTCCTCCTCCTCTCGCGCCACCTCCTCTCGTCGTCGCCCTCCCCCATGCCCCTTCCCTCCTCATCCTCCTGCTTCTTTTCCATGTGCACCTCCCGTTCCCCCTGGTCGTGGCAAGCAACTCGATTTTCCTCGGCGCCGTCGCCGCGTCGGCCAGCACGCGCGCGTTTGCCGACGGCTAGATCGCGAAGCCGTCGGGACAACCCTTCGGGCCAGGCCGTTGGGGCAACCTCGCAGGCCGCAGGGGCGCGGGAGCCAGCCGTTGGGACAACCCCGCGGGCCTCTAGGCGCGCGCCGCGGCGCTCAGGCGGGCGGCAGCACGAAGCCCAGCTCTGCCGCGAGCTGCTCCGCCTCAGCCCTGGAATCCACCGCTCTCTTGTCGAACTCCTGGAGCGCCTTCCGCAGTGACGCCGGCGGCCCGCGCTCCAGGAACTCTCGCGCGGGCGGCCGCAGGATCAGCATGTTCCGCATGCACGTGGCGCGGGAGAACATGACGTAGAGGTGCAGCCACCACATCTCGTCCGACATGCCCGTGCGGTCAGCGTCCTCATCCATTGCGCAGTCGATGGTGACGCCCTTGCGCAGCGTCTGGCCCAGCGACAGCGCGACGACAGTTACAAGGTCCCAATGACCCGCTCGGATTAGTAACATGATCTGCGGGCCGCATAGGGAGGGGGCTCCCGCCTGAGACTTCCTCGCAATTCACTCACAGACGAGGCTCCCGCCTCATACTTCTTGCATACTCAAGCCTCAGAGGCCCAAAAGTGACGGCAGTTACAGAGTTCCGATGACCCGCTCGGATTATTAACATGATCTGCGGGCCCCATAGGGAGGGGGCTCCCGCCTGAGACTTCCTCGCAATTCACTCACAGACGAGGCTCCCGCCTCATACTTCCTGCATATTCAAGCCTCAAAGGCCCAAAAGTGACGGCAGTTACAGGGTTCCGATGACCCGCTCGGATTAGTAACATGATCTGCGGGCCCCATAGGGAGGGGGTTCCCGCCTGAGACTTCCTCGCAATTCACTCAGAGACGAGGTTCCCGCCTGATATTCCCTCCATATTCAAACCTCAAGAGCCCCAAAGTGACGATAGTTACAATGTTCCGATGACCCGCTCGGATTAGTAACATGATCTGCGGGCCCCATAGGGAGGGGCTCCCGCCTGAGACTTCCTCGCAATTCACTCACAGACGAGGCTCCCGCCTCATACTTCCTGCATATTCAAGCCTCAGAGGCCCAAAAGTGACGACAGCTGTAGATTTCCGATGACCCGCTCGGATTAGTAACATGATCTGCGGGCCCCATAGGGAAGGGGTTCCCGCCAGAGACTTCCTCGCAATTCACTCAGAGGTTCCCGCCTGATGACGAAATGATGAGTGAGCGAATGATGATGATGAGTGTGTGATGAATGAGTGATGATGATGAGGATGAGGATGATGATGATGGCCACTGAGTGGGTGATCGAGATATTATTATGGAGATGGTGACGATGGTGTTGAGAGTGGCGGCGGTCCTACCGTCGGAACACCACTGCCTCCGAAGCCGACTGAGGATGAGTGAGTAATTGAGTGAGTAAGTGGGTGATCGAGTGGTGATGAATGTGACGACGATTATGAGGATGATGATGATGACTAGTGATGACGGTGATGGTGGTTGATGGTGATGATGATGGTAATGATGATGAGCGTGTGCGTGTGATGACGATGATGGTGGTTGATGGTGATGATGATGGCGATGATGGTGAGTGAGAGAGAGAGAGAGAGAGGAAAGGGGGTGTGTGAGATCCTGCGCGGCGTGCGCAGGGAAAACAAGAGCCCCACTTTGGATGTGGGGAAAAAGTGACGACAGTTACAAGGTTCCGATGACCCGCTCGGATTAGTAACATGATCTGCGGGCCCCATAGGGAGGGAGCTCCCGTCTGAGACTTCCTCGCAATTCACTCACAGACGAGGCTCCCGCCTCATACTTCCTGCAAATTCAAGCCTCAGAGGCCCAAAAGTGACGACAGTTACAAAGTTCCGATGACCCGCTCGGATTAGTAACATGATCTGCGGGCCCCATAAGGAGGGGGCTCCCGCTTGAGACTTCCTCGCAATTCACTCAGAGGCTCCCGCCTGATGGCGAAATGATGAGTGAGCGAATGATGATGATGAGTGTGTGATGAATGAGTGATGAGGATGAGGATGAGGATGAGGATGATGAGGATGAGGATGAGGATGAGGATGAGGATGAGGATGAGGATGATGATGATGATGATGATGACGATGATGATGATGATGATGGCCACTGAGTGGGTGATCGAGAGATTATGATGGAGATGGTGACGATGATGTTGAGAGTTGCGGCGGTCCTACCGTCGGAGGACCACTGCCTCCGAAGCCTACTGAGGATGAGTGAGTAATTGAGTGAGTGAGTGGGTGATCGAGTGGTGATGATGGTGACGATGATGATGGGGATGATGATGATGACTAGTGATGACGGTGATGGTGGTTGATGGTGATGATGATAGTAATGATGATGAGTGTGTGCGTGTGATGACGATGATGGTGGTTGATGGTGATGATGATGGCGATGATGGTGAGTGAGAGAGAGAGAGAGGAAAGGGGGTGTGTGAGATCCTGCGCGGCGTGTGCAGAGAAAACAAGAACCCCACTTTGGATGTGGGGAACAACAACAAAAAACGAAAGGTCGTCAACAGGCTATGTTATTCCTCCTGTAGAGGGACATGCCCGACTTAAGGCTGTGGTACGAGGGGGGTGGGCGGCCTTCTGAGACGGCGGGGGCCCCCTTCGCGCTACACCCCATGCTTGGCATCGCTCGGACGTGTGCATTTTTTTCTCGGCGAGGACTCGAGGAGCATCCTGGATCATCGAGCAAAAAATCGGGGGTTGCTAGAGGTGACCCTGGCCCAAGGTGCCCCCAGCTTTTCGCTCTATTGTGGAGCCCCTAGGGCCCCTGTGGGCCTCGTGACTCCTTGGAAATCCTGGGGACACCTTGGGCCAGAGGCACTTCTAGCAACACCCGAAAAAAGCACGCACGAAAACGAAAAGTGCACGGGGGATGGACGTCCGAGCGATGGCAGGCTTGGTGCGCGCCGCCAAAGGAGCGCGGTGCAGAACAGCAGCAACCTCCCTGAGCTGTGCGGCCTGGTGAGCGCGCACACTTTCGCCATCAACACCGCGCGGCTCGGCACCTTGCTGGACCCGCAGATCCCCGTCGGCGTTCGCAAGGTGTTGCTGCGCGGCATCCTGCAGGCCATGCAGCTGTGCTGGGACAGGATCTACGAGATGCTCATGGCGAGGTGCAAGTGTTTCCATAGGGCCTTCCGGTGGCTCGACGCTGACGGCAGCGGCTACATGAAGATTGACGAGTTCGTGCGGGCGTTCACCGAGCTGAACATGAGTCACATGAGCCTGAGCGCCCCAGAGGACGGGGAGAAGGAAGGGCAGGTCATGTCCAAGGACCTCTTCCTCACGGCGCTGCGCGTGGACGCCGAGTTCCTGTTCCAGGCGCTCCAGACCGAGCAGTCGGGGCTGTCCCTGTCGGAGTGTCGCAACGTGCAGGTGACCAAACCGCAGCTGATCATGAGGATCATGAGCGTATCCGGGCGCTCACTGCAGAAGATTCGCAACGGGGTGCTGAATAAGTGGCCGGACTATCTGCACAGCGCCGTGGAGGAGTTCGGCGTGCAGAAGAGGGGCGAGCTGAATTGGGCCGAGTTCGAGTCGTTGTGCCAGGGGATGACCAGGATGAGAGGCAGGGGCAGCAGCAGCCAGAGGCTGCAAGGCGAGCAGTTCACGCCCAAAGACAGGCTGCCGCAGCTGTTCCAGGGGGCGGACCTGTGGGGGAAAGGCTCTGTGAGCGTGCAGGAGCTGGAGCAGGTCCTGGGCCAAGCCGTCCCCATGGTGCCCTTCAGCACCCTGCGCAAGAGGATGCTGCTCAGGCACGGCGCCTTCGAGCCTTTCTTCCAGAAGTTCCCTTCCGGATTCCAGGCGGAGGACGAGGTCACCCAATTCTCCCACACGTACGACCTCAACCCTGTGCGCCAGGGCTGGTCCTTCGCTCGGGACATGGGGCTCCTCAGCAGGGCGTTGCAGGGCGGCATGAAGCATCAGATCGGAGACGGCAACGATGGTAGGCATTCCGTCAGGAAGATGGTGACGATGGCGACGGCGGGCATGCCAGACGAAGGGTATTCGGTCGAGGAGTTTGCGATCGCCGTCTTCATCTGCAAGCAGGACAGGGCCAGTCCCGAAGATCTGGCCAAGGAGCTGAGCAAGGCGGAGCGCGAGAGGCACGTCTCGTTCCACGATTTTTCCGAACACATTGTCAACATCGACCAGAGAAGCTACGTCATGATGAAGAGGAAGTCGACGACCGACTCACAACCCAAGCGGACGAGGGATGCAGGAAAGATGAACCGCAAGGACCTCGCGATGCAGGTGATGCAGTCGCGCAAGTCGCGCACGACTGTGATCCACGTGACGCCGAGCCTGTGCTCGAAGACGCAGCTGAGGACTGTCTACGAGGCCCTGGAGAGGGAGCACAAGCGGGTCTCGGTGGACGCCGTGCTCCGGTCCATGCGGAACGTGTCCGACTGCATCGCGCTGGACAAGTGCACCTACCAGGCCGGTGAGCGCATCGCCTGCCGGATCCGGCTGTCGTCCGACCTGCAGAAGCAGTGCAGTTTGTACCCTTTCCTGGCCGTGGTGCCCCGCCACCTGGAGACGATGGAGGACAACATCGGCAGGACCTTCTGGGTCCTCGACGGCAAGCTGGTCACGAGGTTCTCGGAGTTCTCGGAGTCCTACCAGCAGCTGCCCGTCTCGCCGCACGGGCACGGGGTGCTCCCGGAGGCGTTCATGTGGATCACGGCCCCGTTCGTGTCCTCCAACGTCGTCTCCTACGAGATCCGCATCTTCGCGTCGAGGAGGGCGGACGGCAGCGAGGCCCTGCGGCAGGTGGGCCAGGCCGTGCCGATCGAGGTGCTGCTGCCCCGGCCCAGCCCGCCCCTCGTGGAGCTGGCCACGCTGCAGAACGAGGACGAGCTTCGCTCGCCTTAAAACCGCCCTGGGCGTTTTGTTAGTGTTTTTTTTGTTGTTTTACTTTGGGCTCTTGACAGGCTGAAAACGCTGCTTAAAAAAAACGCTACGTTTTTTGTTTAGCGTCTCTGGGGCAGTTGTCGTGGCGTTTTGGGGGGCGTGCTTTCTGCTGCGCTTTCGGGCTGAACACGCTAAAACAGTGTCTGGAAGCGCTAAAACAACGCATCATGTTTTAGCGTGTACTTTTTGTGTTTTGACCTGAGCACGCTAAAAAACGATGTCCAAGACGCCGAGCTGAAAACGCTAAAAGAACGCCCTGGGCATATTTAAGGCGAACCAAGAGGACGAGGGCTTCGCGGAGCTGCACTGGTCCGCGCCCCACGGCAGCTTCGACAACCATCCCATAGTCGGCTTCGTACTGCAGGTGGAGCCCGTGGTGTTCCGGAGGGAGATCCCCGTGAACCTGCGCTGGGGCATCGACGGCTGCAACGACGACTCTTCCGACTCGGGGATGTCCGGGCGCACCGTGGACGAGGACGAGGACGCCGCCGACGAGGGCGCGGCCCTGAAGGAGGTGGTCGTCTGGTCGCCGGACGAGTTCGACTTCTCGAAGCGTCTGAGGGCCCGCGTGGACGGCCTGAAGCGTGGCACGGAGTACCGTTTCGGAGTCCAGTGCCTGCACGCGTGCCCGCTGGTGGACGGCCCTCAGGTGGATCCTTTCGCCCCCTGCGCCGAGGTTCACGGGAGGAAGAGCCACCCGGACCCGAAGATTGGCGTTTGCTAAACGGCCTGGGGCGTTTATTAGACAGCCCTGCCATGTTTGATTCCTTCTTTGGGCACGTTTACCAAACGGCTTCGCGTGTCGGGGTGATTCTTATGGGGGTGGATGTTCTGCCCTCTAGAGGTGCGCGGCGCGCCCAGCGAGCTCTCCGGGGTCGTGTCGATGCCCCTGGCGATGGTGCTGCAGCAGCCCGGGAACGTGCGCGGCGAGTGGAGCAAACACATGGACGCGGTCAGGCTAAGGTGTTCCTTTTTTGATTCGTTGTTTTGCCCTCGCACTGCCCCCCCCCCCCCTCCCCCCCCCTTGTGGAGTAGATCTTGGCTGCTTTGGGCGCCTGTCTTGAGCGGGTGGAGTCTCCCAGAGAGGCAGCACGATTGCAAACAGTCGCACTAAGCAGAGGTTTGGAGCCAGACCCACCCACCCCTTCCGCCCAACGCCGTAACGCCGAATAAGAAAACGCTCACAAGGTGGCAGCTAGTCTTCAATCAGAACACCGTCGACAATGTCAAGTTCTGCAGGCACAAGCTCGAGTACCGCCATGTCACGATCATCAGATCACGAGGCTCCGCCGGCGAGGACGGGTCGGACTCGGACGAGACGAGCGACAGCGAGGACGACCAGAACCAGCACACCGAAGACAGGCGGAGCCACTCGGATTGGCAGCCGATCGACCAGGCCTCGAGCCCGGTGTTCACCACCGCTCCCATCGAGGACAATTACGGGTGCTACGAGGTATGCTGCACGGTGGAGGATGTGGCCAAGCTGCGGGACGTGTATCCCGGACAGCGGTACCAGTTCCGGGTCTGCGTGGTGAATATGGCCGGGGAGTCGGAGTGGAGCCAGCCCTCGCGGTCCATCAAGGTGGACGTCGGCGCCAACCGAGACCGCAGCAGCATACCGCGGGCGATGCTCTCGCGTCTGGAGGTGAAGGAGTCGCAGGGCACCTACACGCCTCTCCGCGGACTCCAGCCGCGGACGCACTGCCACCTGCGGTGGCGGATTTCGAAAGAGATGGCGGACTCCAGCCCGCGGTACATGTTCCAGGTTACGGACCTTGGCGACACCGCGTGGTACTGGACCAAGGTCCAGGGATACATCCTGCACGAGCAGTCGCGCCACAAGAGCCAGCGCATGACCGCCGCCTACTCCCACGACTTCGTCCAGGTGGAGGCGCTCGTGACCGGCCTGGAGATCTTCCCCCCCAACGCGAGGCGGGCTGGCCACAGCCGAAGGGAGTCGTGCTTCTTGCCCCGGGGGGGGCCCGTCGGCTTCGACGACGCCGCTCGAGAGAGCGCCGATGCGATGGGCCCCGCCGGGGGTGGGCAGGGCGTGCGGCTCCACCCACTGTGGCCCGCCGGCGAGGCTCTCGCTGCAGGTGGTCGCCAGCACGGACCGCGGCAGCTGCACCGAGGAGGTGGAGGCCCTCGGAAAGAGGACGGGAAAGCCTGCATTGCATGTCGGGCTCGTCTCCGAGAGCCCTTCCTCCACCCCTCGTCGGGTCTGGTTTGAGCTCGCTCGTGCCAGAAGAAAACTCAGAGCCCCGAATCATCAGGGGTAACTCGGGTCAGGGATAACTCGGGTTCGTTTTCCAGGATTCCGAACCCGACTTACCCCGGACCCGAGTTACCCCGGATAACTCGGGCGTCCAGGGCCCCGAATCATCAGGGGTAACTCGGGTCAGGGCTAACTCGGGTTCCTTTTTCGGGAATCCAAACCCGAGTTACCCCGGACCCGAGTTACCCCGGATAAGTCGGGCGCCCAAAAAACCTGCAAAAACACGCACGTTTCTGGAAGTCCGAGCGGATTTCCTGGCTCTGCGGTGGGGCCCCCTTCCTCGGCGCGCGCGCGAAGCTCCGGCGCTGGGCCACCCCGGCGGTGCCGGGGGTGGGGGTCCAGCGTCGACCCAAGATATGTGTGCGGACCTCCGCAAGTTTATGCCCACGGTGCGGACGTTGGTTAAAGAATGTGCCCAGGAGGCTGCCGACCCTGGAGGATTTCCTGTGTGATGAGGGCGGCGGTGGTATCCATAGCCGATCCACGATGGGAGTTCCACTGGCCTCCAGGCCCTGGATGCCTTGTCCAATGGGTCCGTACCCGTCGGTCGTTGAAAGTAGGCATTTTTAGAGTCCCAGATTCCACTCCATTTGAAGCGGCGCCCGATTTCAAGGATCGAGTGGCTTCACCTTTTTTCCGTCCTCTTTCGGGGGCGGGCGGACACCCAGTCTACCTGCAACGCCCTCCTGCTTCACGTCTCTGCCTGCCCCTCCCGACCAAATGGGCATCCGATGCCCTCGCCGTACGTGCTCTGCCTGCTCTCCCCCAGGTCCCCCCCACGGACCCCGAGCCCGCCGCGCCGCCCGGCGCGCCGGAGGTGGTGCAGGCGCTGCTGCAGGAGGACCACACGGCCATGGTGGAGCTCCAGTGGTCCCGGCGCGGCTCGAGCAGCGGGTCCGAGGATTGTCGGGGGCGGCCACGAGGGGGTGACGACCAGCGGGGGTGGATTTCGCAGCGTGGGCCAGGATGTTTCCTCGGATTTCCTCGCGCGTCCTGTTGCTTTCATGGCGTCCCTGGCCCCCCGTGGGCCGCGCACGTGCCGCTGGCCGTGATTTGCGACCCCCCCTCTTGGACGCCCCTCTTTTGGCCGACCCCGAGACTGGGGCGGCGCGCAGAACGGGGCGGCGAAATCCTTATGTTCGCGCTGGGCGACCTCGCCCGATTTCAGACCCCCGGGCCGTCGCAGATCGATCCGATTTGAAAGATGTAGCATACAAATGAGCGACGCAAAACACGGCGTCGTCTGCGCCGACATTCGCGAGTAAGCTGCCCGTTTTTGATCGTCGCTCATATGGGGCCAGGGGCTCCAGTCGTGCCTGTTTTCGATGTCGCGATCCTTCCGCGCCGTTGGATCTCAAGGTGGGGGCTCGCGAGGGCGGCGGCCTCCGAGAAGGGGGGATGCCTCTCCGAAGCGGCCTCCCCGAAAAAAACCACAGGCCTCCTCGGCAACCTCCAGGCCCTCCGAAGAGTCCCAGGCGGGAATTTATACACGACCACCGCCTGGAGGATCAATTTTCGGGGGCCTCGCAGGCGGTGGATATGGATATGTTCGGGCCCCCCAGGGCCAAAATATGTCCACGTCCACCGCCGGCTGGGGCACCAGGACGTCGGTTCCCAGGCGGTGGATGTGGATAAATCCCAGCCTCGCAAAGAGGGCCCCCGAGCACCAAGAGGCGCGCACCCCCCGGGCGCGCGCTGCCGAGAGGAGCCGACCATCCCGACGGGCTACGCCGTGCAGGCCGCCCACTGCCTCAAGGGCCACGCCGGCGACGACCGCCACTGGAGCGCCTTCGGCACCCTCGGCTCTGGTGTGCACATGTCCTCGTCGGAGCGCGCCGAGGCCAGGGGTTGTTAGAGTCGAAGAAGGAAAAGCCACGTAAGCACAAACTTTCGGCGCTCCGCGCGAATGCCCTGGATCCGCGCCTGGGCCTCCCTGCGGCGCCTCCGGCGCCGCCCCTGGCGCGCTCCGCGCGCCAGGGAGGGGGGCCCAGCGCGGATCCAAGAAGTCCGCGCGGAGCGCCAAGAGCTTACGTTTACGTGATTTGTTCTTCTTCTGTCGAGGGGCCCCTGGCCCAAAGGCGCCCCCAGCTCTGCGCTCCACTCTGGAGCCCCCTCGGGGCCTCGCGGGGCCTCGCGAGGGGTGCTCCGAGGAGGCCGTGGGGCCTCCCTTCGGCGATCCTGGGGGGGGCACCTTTGTGGGCCAAGGGCACCTTCTGGCGTTACGTCGGGCCTGTCCCTCTACAGGCGGAATAGTCAGAAATAGTCAAAAAATAGTCTGGGTATTTTTTGCTATTTTTGGATATTTTGGGCGTATGTTTGACTATTTTTCATCTTTACTCCGAAATCCCCTTGTAGGGGGACATGCCCGACCTAATCCTGGCCGCGTCCGACCGAGGCCCCTGTGTCCTGCATCCTGAAGGGCCTGGAGCCCGGGAGCGTGCTGCGTTTCCGGGTGTGTGCGCTCGCCCCGGACGCCCGTGGGCGAACCGTCTGCGCTTACCCACCGAGCCATAGACCGACAATCATGCAGGCATAGATCGGGCGACGAAATCTATACATATCCACTGCTCCCTGACCATGCCCATCCTGAACCCAGGAGCTGTGTATGCGCCCTCCTGGCCAAGCCAGGAGGGCGTGGCGTATACACCGCTGCGGGGTTGAGGATGGGCCTGGCCTGGGAGCAGTGGATATGTATAGATTTCGTCGCCCTAATAGACACATCCGAGGGGGTGCTTGCATGGGGCGTTACAGAAAGGGCCTCGCCTTCGAGGACCAGGGGAGTTGGCATTCTTTCCTTGGCGGAGGGCGGCGGAAGCGGGCGGGAGGCTGGCGGAAGCCAGAGGTGGCAGCATGTTTGGGTTCAGGGTTTCCGGAACCCGCCACGTGGAGCTAACGGAAGCTCCAGACATAGCATGCATCGGCATGCATACGTTGGCGAAGGACAGATCTTTCTCCGCGGCTTCGCCCGGTCGGGCACCTGGGCCGCGCCCCCGCGGATGCAGGGCGTTCTTCCGCGGATGTCCCGCGCAGAACGTGTCCGTACGACCGCGCATTTCAAGCAGTGGGGAAGCGTCTTGGCTCACCTGTAGGCCCACCAAAGAATGTTCAAAGAACCTCTTGTGGTTTGCACGAAATGTTCCTAGAACATGTCTGGCTGAGTCTGTCTTGTTTTAACAGGTTGATGTTCGAAGGAAATGGTTTTGCTCTTAGAACATTTGTGGGTCCTCAGAAGATGTCGTGGTAGGCCTATAGGAATGCCGGGACGGTATGTCCCTGCTCAAGCACTCGCAGGCTCGTGCTCCAGAAGCCAGACCGCGTGGGCGCGGATACGGATAATGCCATATACGGTCATCGTGTTGCCGCCAGGAGCACTGAATCAGAAGCGAAGTGATTTGTCTGGCCACTTTAGCCTCGGCAACGAACAGGCCCCCCTACACTTATGATGTTCCAACCTAGTTTAGCCTTGACCACCAGAAAGAATTCCGAGCACCAAAAACAACACCGAAACTCCAAGGTTTTCTCGTGTCGGGCCCTGGGAGACACTCTTCAGACACTGTTTCGGCACTCTTCCGACACTCTTTCGACACTTTTCCGAGTGCTAGACATTATTTCTGGGATGTGGTCCTCAAGTACGATGGGAGCAACAGAACCCTACACAGATCCTCTGAGGAGCGGCCCGAGAGTGGCCCTCACTTCGGCGTCTCGACTGCATGCCCGCCGCCCGCCAGGACGGCCGCCTCGGGTCGCCCTCCGAGGCGAGCGCGCCCCTGAGCCTGGACGAGAGCCTGCCTGCCCTCGCGGCCCCCCACGCACGGCGGCTGTCGCCCTGGCCCGCGCGCGCCCTTACGCCGAGCAGGCCTCGCCATCGAAGCAGACGGACCTTCGTCGTCGTCGTCGCCACCGCCGCGGCCGCCGCCGTTTGCGTCGTCGTCGTCGTCGTCGTCGTCGTCACCGCCGCCGCCGCAGCCGTCGTCGTCGTCGTCGTCGTCGTCGTCGTCGGGCCCCGAGAGAGATGATCGCCCTGTTCGGGCCCCGGGGGCCCTCCATTCCGCACGGTCGAGCTCGGTACAGCAGGTTCGCGCCGCGCCGACGGCGCGGCGGGGGCCCTGCCGCCGGCGTTCCACGCTGAGCGCCGCGGGCGACCGGCCTCGATCGCTGCGGAGCGATCTGACATCTCGGAGACGGCCGATCGTTCGAGGTGGAGCGATCCCCGCGCTTCCATCGCCTCGATGCGCCCGCTTCCGATGCGCAGCACGTGCCCCGCGCGCTGAAAACGCGTGCGTGCCGGTGCGCTGCGTGCTGGCTCCACGCGTCGGCCCACGTTTTCTTTTGGCGAGCGCCTCGCGCGAGAGACCCGCGTGCTTTCAAAGCCACGCGCGGAGCCTCCGTGCCGACAGCGCGCGCAGCGTGCTGCGTTGCTGCGCCTCCGGGAGGCCAGGAAGTCCCCGCGGTGTCGGAGACCCACGCCAGGGGGTCGTCCCGGGGAGCGCTGCTCTCCGCTCCCGGGCCCTGGGCGGGGCGGGGGCGGCCAGGCCAAGAGGGGGGTGACGACTAGGGGGGGGATATCATGGCGTGGGCCATGATTTAAACAAAAAACGGGAAAACATAATAAAAAAGCAAAAAGAAAACGAAACAAAGATTACATATATATATATAATATATATATATGTATATATATACATATATATGTATACATATATATATATATATATATACATATATATATATATATATATATATATCCCAGATTTCATGGCGCCTCGTCTCATGTCATTACGTCCCTGGCCCCCCCCCCCTGGGCAGCGCACGTGCCGCCGGCCGTGATTTGCGCCCCGCCCTCTCTTCGACGCCCCCCTCTTGGCCGCCCCCGAGCGGGGGCCCTCCATGGGCCCCGGCCCGGGACCCGCAAGAGACGACTCGGGAGGAAGAGCCACTCCCCGCGGGATCGGCGGACAGAGCCGAGCACGTGTCGCAGCGGAAGCAGACGACGGGCCCCGAGGGAGCGGCGTTCGGGAGGGTTGCTCACCTCGGCGGCGAGATCCGAACCCTGCCGTCGCCGCTCAACCATTCAGGCAACTCGGTGGGCGACGAGGGTAGGGTTCAGAATTCGTCGAACCCGTGCCGAAATCCGAATCCTGCCCCCGCCTCCCATCGATTCAGGACAAACGATGGTTGGTGGGGGTAGGGTTCGGATGTCGCCACCTATCACCATTTTCGGGCTCTTG